TTTTCAAAACCATTTTATCGATGTGATTTCCAAATAGCTTTGGACCGCGCGGTGGATGGAGCTGATTACAGATTCACTTCTCAAACAGCCAGGATTCTCCACCCACTCGGCGCTCATCATGCTGAATTAATCTAACTGGCAATTTATCCTTTGTAACTTAAATATTAGGGCAGGGTGCAGTCATTAGCAATGACTAACTACCCAGCAAAAGCTCCTGGCATTCTGCTAAGGCAGCAAATCCGCTTCCAAAATACGCTATTTTCCGGTGGGTTTTAAAAACGCGTTGTCTGCCTGAGCTGTGGTGGCCACTGGACGCTCTTTACTGGCCTTTGGGTCCCCCCAAGGGGTCCCTTGGGAGATGGGTTACCCAAGGAGATGTGAGTGGGCAACGCAGGCACCCCGTGGAGGCACGGCTGGCGCGCTCGGGTGCCCTGAGGATCCCATGGGGCGGACGCAACCTGGTGTTCGCCTCTTGGCGTGGGATCACCATCCTTTCCCTGAGCCTTGGTGAAGCTCAGGCCACGTCACCGAGACCTCTCGGCAGGGAGACGCGGCCAAGGCAGCTCGCGTGGGAGGCGCGGAGCTGGAGCAGCTCCCTCGTGCTGGCTTTGCGTCTCTGGAGGGTTTTTATTCTGCTCTGGGCCCTGTTGATGCCACCCCAGGCCCTGGCCATGGGGGGATGCTCTGGGACGGAGTCCATCGCCCCAAAACGAGCCCATCCCACCGTCACCAGCAGGAGGGAGCTGAGGGCCAAGAACATCCTGGGAAGCGAAGCTTTGCAGCCTCTTTTAATATTCTGTCTTGGGGGTATGGTAAAAATAGACATTTGGGATGCATTATTATTATTGACGGGGTTTTGCTGAACGCTGTTTATTGTTTTCAGATGCCGTAAACCTAGCGGGGGAACCCAAGAGACCGAAGGGTCTCTTCAAGCAAATCCCAGCTCCCCCCGCAGAGCTGTGGCCCCTGTAATTGCCCCAGGATCGTCTATGAGCCGGTGGTGATTAAAGCCTGATTACGGCAGGCTTGCCTGTTGCCATGGGTAAAACTCTCTGCCCCATTGCCTCGCTTCTTGCCGCGAGGAAACCCCGTCCTGCATCGGCTGAGGGATGAGGATGCTCGTCAAATATTGATGCGGTTGGTCAATTAGCCTTGGCAAAACTGGAGCAAAATCGCCTCAACAGGTGTTTTATCAATTAATATCGTTGGCGCTGGACACCTCCGTCTCCAAACGGGGCCGGTGCCCTCCGGGTTCCCTCTCTCTCTTGCGTTCCAGCCCGATAAAGAGGGATAAACTTTGCCGCCTTCAGCAATGAGCTGCCTGCTACCGGCGCCAATATTTCGCGTTATTTCCCATGTAAAAACTGGCGTTAATATCGCTAATTAGCTCGGGGATTGGCAAAACCCCACCCCGGCGTGGGAAGGATGGATTTCGAGCTGTAGAAGTAAAAGCCCGGAGGGGGTCGGCTGCTGATTTTGCGTGTGGTGGTGATGGGATGGGGTGGAAAATGAAATCCCGGGGCGGGGGGGGGCGAGGTGGCATTAATCTCTCTGCAGGCAACATAAAAACCAAATAAACAAATATCGAGGTGATGCGAAGCGAGAGCATCCCCGGAGCCTCTGCGCATCCTCCCGTCGTGGTCCGGCCGGTGGATTTGCTGGGGGAACGGTGCCAACCCCCCCGTGGTGGGGAAAGCTTTACCCCCACCTCCGATCTGGCCCCCCCCAAAAAAAATTTGCTGCGAGCTGCTCTTATTTGGGGGAGATTTGTGCCAAGGGGGGGGTGTGGGGGGTGTGGGGAGACCCCA